ATCAGCCCCCCCCCCACATCTCCTGCGGGGGATGTGCCCGCAACCCAGGTACATGTCCTTGACTGGAATCGAACCTGGGACCCTTCAGTCCGCAGGCCAACGTTCCATCCACTAAGCCAAACGGCTTTGGCTCACTAGATTTCTTGAGGGTCTCACTACATTTATTAGCAGTCTCACCAGACTTTTTTGAGGGTCTTACTAAATTTATCAGCGGTTTCTAGAAAGTTCTTGAAAAACCTTAAAAGTGTGGTTTTGAACTCTATATCCAATCATTTGCTTTCTTCCATTTCTGTCATTTGTGACTTGTTTCTTTGTCTCCACATTTTTTATGCTTCCCTGTGTTGATAGAGTGGTTTCTGTGTTTAGGTGTCCTATAGGGCCCAGTGGCTCAGCCTTCCCAATTACCTGAGGTGGACACTCTTGGTGCACCCCTTTGTGGGCTTTGTGCAGTGGCTGGCTTTTCTTTTTTATCAGCTTTCTTTTACATAGCATATGGGTGGTTTATCCTTTGTTGTTGCTGCTGTTTGTTCACGTTAGATTTTGGTCCTCTGATGAAAATACATTCACGTCTTATCTGTCAATCCCAAAGCTCAGGCCTTGGACCAGCTGCAAGTTTGTTAGGTAATTTTTAGATTACAACAGGCCAGGCTTTCATATATAAAAGCCAGCGCACAGCTTGGGCTGGGCAGGGGTCCCAGGGGATCAACAGAGCGGCGCAAGCAGCTATGGCTGCCCACAGAGGCCCCACTTCTCAGTGTCCCAGCATTCGCTGCAAGCACCTCCGAGAGAAAGCTGCCCTCGAGTTCCAACCAATTCCAGACAGTCCAGTTTCTCCCGTATGAGTCTGGGTCCCCAGAGACTTGCCCAGAACTGGAGCTCAGAGCTTGAGACTCCCTACCAATTGAAAAAGACAACCATGTCATCAGCCGCCAGCCCTCTCCGCATGCACCTCCGTACCTCTGTACTTTACTTCCGCACCTCAGCTCCTCTGAGTCTCAGTATGCCTTTCTCTTTCCTTTTAGTTGTAGAATTTCCACTCAGCCAGCCTTCCTGTGGTTCTGGATGATGTCCATACTGTCTTTTAGTTGTATTCTTGAAGTGGTTGTGCTAAGCAGCAATCTCTGGTGTTTACCTATGCCGCCATCTTGGTTTTCTCTGGGACCTTTTTTTTATCATTATTTTGGCTGCTTCCCTGTGTTTGTTTCTATATATTAGAAAGAGCTGCTATATCTCCTGGTCTTGGTAAGATGGCCGTATACAATAGGTGTTCTGTAATGCCCTTCTGGGTTACCAGAGCTGAGCACTAAGATGAGCCCCTATCTAGGCTCACCCTCCTATTGTAGTTGAGCCTCAATTGCTATTGGCACATATGAGAGGGATTTATCCCCTGGCCCATCGTTTGTGAGGACTGGCTGCAACCATTGTGGGGGCTCTGCTGAGTCCAAGCCTGGAATGTGTAGCTCTTGGATATGGTTTCATGGTACTTCAGCATGGTCCAAAACTGCCCACCAGGACCTTCTGGGAAGTTCAGGCCAAGGTCAGCTGCCACCTGTACCCTCCCCACGCCTCCCATTCTGAGTTACAGAGTGTTCTGCAGATGGCTGCTATTTGTGCTGGGTTGGAGGTGTCTGTGAGAGGTCAAGCTGTGAACCAAGACCAGCTGCCACTAGCACCAGGCCTGGGGCCCCTTTCAGGAGGTACAGGACATGCCGAAACCAGAATGCTGCTTGTTTGAGAGATTTTAGGAAAGTCAACAATATAAGCCAGGACAGGCTGGTTGTATGGAAAAACCACTAGAACTGGCTTGTGGGGGGCCCACAATTTGGGTACATTGCAGTCTCAGGGAATTACCAGTGTAGTGAATGATTTTTAGCCAGGTTAATGGAGATTCAAATCTGGCTCCTGCCTGTGGGCTCTGTGTAGAGAGGGTTCAACAAAGGAACAATGGCTAGCACTTCTGTCCAGGAGAAAGTTGCCCCTCCAGCCAAAAAATTCGGTTCCTCCCTGTACATCCCTGTATGGCACCTTTCGAACTGCCCCGACATTGGAACTCAGAGACAGTGAATCAGAGTAAGTCCATTGGGCCTTTAAGAAGAACACCTGGGCCTCTAGCAGCCTTCTGTCTCACTCAGCCATAATCCCCACTGGTTTTCACAGCCAGAAGTTAAAGGGACTTCTACTGGCACTGGAACCCTGGGTTGGAGGGCCTGGTGTGGGCCTTGCTCCTCAGGGGGGACCTCTGCAGCCAAGGTATGCCTCCCAATTTTTATCTGCCACACGTAGATGTGGGGCAAGCCCCTTCCACTTCACCCCTTCTATCAGCCTCCATGTGACTTCTTCTGTATATCCATAGTTATAAGTTCTGTATTTTAGTTGTAACTTTGATGGTTTTGTAATTTAGTTTTAACTTTGATGTGGTTGTGGGAGGATGAAGGATTAGCCTACTAAGCCTATAAAAGGTTCTTTGTGCTGATCTAAGAGCAACACGAAACATGATAACCCATGGATCATGTCAATTTAAAATAACAGCATAGAGGAGAAAAAAACATGTTTACATTACTTCAATAATTGTTTCACTTCCGTGGTCATTATATTAGGAAACCTAAGTATGAAGCATCTTGTATTTGAAATTATTGGAGAAACCAAACAGTTCTTTTATTGGTGTGAGGTTGGTTAATAGGATCATATATGTTTCAGGTGTACCTCTGAATAACTTTAGTATTGAAAATATAGAAATGATTTGAATAGCAAATGAAAAAGTAATGATGAACTATATTAAAATACAGTCTTGTGAAACTGTCCTTAAATATAAATTGCTTCAGTTTGTTACTTTGGTGTTTTGTGGTACATTCATATTTTATTCTTAACCAGATTTAGAAACTGTGTTGGCAAGTGTATTGCTTCCTTCTTTACCCCAAGAACAAGTAAAATAGAAACTATCTGTATAAGCTGTTTCCTGTCAGATAATAACACCAACAGTGATCAGAGCTAGTAATAGTTCATCGTTTTAATCTTTCCCTTGATAGGTGGCACACTTGCTTATTTGGGATAAGTGCCAGGGTTTTAGTTTAATTTCTTTAAACAGTAGACTGATAACAAGTCTTTTTACTAGTGTAAATTTCTCCTTGGTGGCCCTTTATTTCACATTATTCCATCCTGGCAGGAAGAACTGTGCTCTTCATATAAGTTAAATTCTGCCATGCAGAATGCACCTCATGGAACTATTTTTTAATAAATACAAAAACCTTCAGTAAAATGTTTTCTTCTTGATTTCAGAATAGTGTTTTTGTGTCAGAATTTAAACTATCATGGTCTACAAACAAAAATAAGTTAAATTAACCTTACATACTTTTTTCCATTTTCAGCCTGAAATTGAAAATAGAAATCAATGTAAATTTGATCAATGTGGAAGTTCATTTTTAGACATTCAGGATTTGTATTTGGTAAATGTGTCCTCCTGCTTCTTTTACCACTTGTATCTAACCAGTTTATCTTCTTGCTGTTTGTCTTATAGAGCACCCCTGTTTCTGCCAGAAACTTTGCTCTTCTCTCTGCCTAAAATATCCCTTCCCCATAGGTAACTTTCAGACATTCAGATCTCAGCCCAAATGCCATGTCCACAAAGAGAACTACCCAGAATAAGCCTAAGAGCAACCTCTTCCCAGCAGTCCTGACTCCTGTTACCCTTCTTTATTTTATTCTAGTCATTGCACTCAATATTATCTGAAATTTCTTATTTATTTGTTCACTTGTTTTGTTATCTCTAGCCCATTAGAACATAATTTCAGTGAGAGCGAGGACATTATCTGCCCTTAGCCACTATATTCCAAACTTAGAACAGAACTTTGGTCACAAAACGGGTACCTAGTACATTGCTATCATGAATCCATGTCATGTACAGCCATTTTAGAAAGTTCTTAATATACTAGAGAGACCTTCTTAGTACACATAACTGGGTACTAAGTATTTATGATCTTTCTAATGGAGCCATTACTACAGAACTAACTATACAGTACTGTAATCTTCACAGTACACTAGAACCTACTATAACCCTCTCCCTGAGTCTAAACTGAAATGTTTTAGGGAAGACTTTGACATGACAAGCCTTATCTGGCACTAAACCCATTGAGTAGATTTCAGGACAGGCCCTTGTTCTAAATTCTATACCATGTTATAATAAGCCAATCCTGTATGATAAAAGTCTAATATGAAAATTGTCCCCTTGACCAGGAATTTGACCAGGGACGAGGCTGGCAGGCCAACTGTCCATGGCCCATCCCCCCAGCCAGCCCCACCCTGGCCAGCAGCTGGCAACTGCTAGGAACCCTACCCATGCATGAATTTCATGTACTGGGCCTCTAGTATTACAATAAGTAAGCCTAAAAAATTCCTATTTCAGTGAACTAATCCTATTTGCTATTTTTGTTTTGTTTATTTGTAACTATTTGACAATGACGATGTGACGATTATAACAACTATATTAAATGTCTTGTAATAGAAGGAAAATGAGTTTGAATTTTCTTTTAAAATGTATATTCATTTTATAAATAATGTGTTTTATTTTTAAAATTGTTATATATATGATAAATTTGGACTTATTTTTAGTACTTGATGCAGCAAAAAAAGGATACAGAAAAAAATAGGACCTGTGTAAACTGTTGGTGGGATTGTAAATTGGTGTGGCCACTATAGGACACAGTATGGAGGTACCTCCTAAAATTAGAACTACATAAAACCCAGCAATTTCACTTCTGGGTATTTAACTGAAGAAATCCAAAGCACCAATTTAAAAAGACATATGCATTCCTACATTCACTGCAGAATTATTTACAGTCGCCAAAATATGGAAGCAACCTAAGTGTCCATCGCTAGACAATTATTTAAAACAGATGTGGTACATATGTAGAATTGAATATTTAAAAATATTCAGCCTTAAAAAAATGAAATCTTGCTATATTTATCACATGGATGGACATGAAAGATATTATGCTACCAGTAAATCAGTCAGACAGAGAAAGACAAATACCGTATGATTTTACTTATATGGGGAATCAATAAAAAATAAAACAAATGAACAAACAAAACATAGCAGACTTAGATACAGAGACAAACTGCTGGTTGCCAGAGGGATGGGGGTGGGCAAAATAGTTAAAGGGAATTAAGGGATACAAACTTTCTGTCACAAAATAAATAAATTATGAGGAAGTAGCAAACAGCATAGAGAATATAGTCAGTAATACTGTAATAACTTTATATGGTGACAGAAGATAACTAGACTTATCATGGTGATCACTTTTTAATGTGTATAAAAATTGAATCATTGTGTTGTACACCTGAAACTAATATGTATAATATTGGAAGTCAATTATACTTTAAAAAGAAAAAAGAGGATCCATATCTATACTAATAATAGCCTAGGTGGCATCACACCCTCATGTTGTCACAAGATGGCTGAGAACAGGAATGTCGGCTTTTTTCAACAATCTTGTTCTGTATAGTACTGGAAGTGCTAGCCATAGAGATGGGATGAAAAGAAATAATAAAAGGCACCCAAATTGGAAAGCAGAAAGCAAAACTGTCATTATTCACAGATCACATGATACTATATATAGAAAACCCTAAAGACTCCGTCAAAAAAACTACCAGATTTAATAAATCAATTTGGCAACATAGCAGCATGTAAAATTAACACCCAGATACCTAGGGCATTTTTATACACCAGTAATGAATTTTCAAAAGGATAAATTAAAAAAATCCATTTACCATTGCAACAAAAAAATTAAGTTACTTAGGAATAAGCTTAACCAAGGAGGTAAAAAGACTTATACTCAGAAAACTACAGGGACATTAGAGTTGACCAAGATGGCGGCATAGGTTAACACCGGAGTT